GCTCCGGGCTCTCAGCCTTCGCGGAGCGAGGCTGCAGCGGGTCCCTGAGAACAGGCAGATTCCGGGGCGCCATCCGTGGGGACAGGGCCAGGCCTGGGAATGCGTTTCCTAAGGCGGATCCTCTGAGCCCCAGAACGCGGCTGCCAGGCTCTGACGTCCGTCCATTCCCTCCTCGTTTCTGCAACGTGCCCAGCGCTTCCTGACCCACCCCCACTATCTTCCCAGGATCCCTGTCCCGGGTCCCCGGACCAGTCCCCTCCCCTGGCAGCCGCCCTGGCCCCTGCGCTACCCGGCTGGGGCTCATTCCCCTCCCGCAGGACCCTCCCCGCCGAGCCCCGGAAGGAGCCCCTCCCCAGCCGGCCACTGCGCTCCCGCGTCCAGCTCCAGGGCCAGCTCCCCCGTCCAGCTCTCCGGCCAGCTCCCCCGTCCAGCTCTCCGGCCGGCTCCCGGGCCGGCTCCCGGGCCTCCCAGCCCCTGCGCGTTCCCGAGGCTCAGAGCCGGGGGCACCGAGACCTTCGGTGGCAACGGGCGGACCTGGATCCTGGGCTGTGGGCTCCCGGGAGGATGAAGCAGGTAGGACCGCAGAGATGACCGCGGGCAGGGAGATGGCGAGCCAGAGGCGGCGGGAGCGCAGGCGGAGGCCGGGAGGAGCCGGGAGGAGCCGGGAGGCACCAACCCCAGCGCCCAAGGCTGCGCTGGGCCCGTGAGCAGGAGGCAGCAGGAGGCCTCAGGTCTCCAAGGAATCGCTGGGGAACCAAAGAGGCACGCAGAGACCAGCCCAGGAGTGCCAACCGTGGTGGTTAGTGGGGCCTGCCCTCCATCTGCCCCTGATGTCCCCAGGCCCTGGTAGATGATACAGAGGACGTGTCCCTGGACTTTGGCAATGAAGAGGAGTTGGCCTTTAGGAAAGCCAAGATCAGGTATGTTGGGACTGGGCCCTGGGCAAGCAGGCGCCAAAGCCGCAGATTCATCCATCCGCCCGACCAGGCATCTACCACCATCCCTCCATCCATTCCAAATGTGCCTGAACCCACTGTGTGCCGGGGACATGCCGTGGACACACGAGACCATCCCTGACCCCCGGAGCCTGCAGTCTGGGACAGGTGTGATGCTGACATGGAACGGTCAGTCTGAACAAAGAGATTAAGGAGGTAATCATAGGATGTGAGAGGTCGGGAGGAGATCCACAGGGAAAGTTCTGAGGAGGTGGCCTTTGAGCTGAGACCTGGATGAAGGGAGCAGTCAGCGTTGGGGACTCTGGAGCAAGAGAAGGGAGGAGAGGGCAAAGGCCCGAGGCTGTGGCAGGTCAGGGAAACAGCACTGTGGCCACCGGGCAGTGGAGGGGGCAGTGGAGGGAAGCCGTGGCAGGAGGCTGTACCAGCGGGAGGGCTTGACTTTTCTTCCAATCCCTGCTCAGCTCTGGCCAGACTTGTCCTGGGTCAGGTCACACGCCTGCCTGTCCCAGGCAGTAGGACCAGGGAAATGACCCATGAACATGGCCGCTCACAGCCAAGCACCTGCTGCATCTAGAAATATTCACAGCCTAGAGGCAGGGGCCCTGGTATCCAAATGCCATTCTTCATCATCGTCTTTATTATCATTTAATTTTGGGAGCACTGGGCGTTGAACCCAGGGCCCTACGCATGCCAGGCGGGTGCTCTGCCACTGAGCTACACCTCTATGCCCAATACCATTCCTTTCAAAACCTTTTTTTTTTTTTTTTTACATTCAGTTCTCCGATTTAGATCCAATAACCCCGGAATAGAACAGACTCCGTCAGTTTCCTACAGTGACTAACACATTCTCCCAAACACGTTGGCTTAAACTTCAGAAGTTGATCCTCTTGTAGCTCTCGAGGCCAGAAGTCCACGCGCAGGTTTTCTGGCTGAAACCAACGTGTCGGCAGGGTCCGTCCGACCGCTTCGGAGGCCCTGGGGGGTGGGGGACCCACTCCTTGCCTTTTCCAGCTCTTGGTGGCTGTGGGCATTTGTGGGGCCACCTTTACCTGACCTAGTCCTCTGTGTGTGTCTCTCCTTACCTCTCTCCAAAAGGAGATTACTGGTGGCGTTGAAGCCCACCAGGACAATCTAGGATCCTCTCAGGATCCCTAAATAAATCGACCCACAGTCCCTTTGGCCATTAGGCTACGTTCCAGAGATTAGGACCTCCTTATTGGGGGGGGGTGTTACTCATCTGACTGACGACCAGTGATTTGGAGAATGGCCCAGTCAGAGAGCTAGAATTCTGGTAAAGAACCTTACGGGGTAGCTAAGCTCACGTGTTGAGTTTTCGGTGAGAATCTCCCGTGGGCCTGACTGGGTGGTGGCTGGAGTCCTGCCTTACAGAGCCGTGAGTTCAGGGCAGGGTTGCCTGACCTCAACATACCTGTCATTTGGGGCCAGATCCTTCTCTGTCGTGGGAACGTCCCGGGCATTGCAGGACGTTTTAGCGTCCCTGGGCTGGGTACCATCCCTGGCCTCTACTCACCAGATCCAGGAGCATCCAGTAAATTCTGCAGACCCCCAAGTGTCCTCTGGGAGGTCACGGTGTGTGTGGGGGGTCAGCACCCACGCTGCTGCAGCTCCGAGCTTTAACCGCGTGATGAGCAGAAGCTTGGGCCGTTCTCCTGACGGAGGGGGCGGTGACACTGAGCTGGGACCTGAGGCTTGGGGCCCTGAAGTGGTCAGGGAAGGTGGCTGTCCGTGCAGAGGCCTGGAGGCGAGGCTGGAGTTCGGGGTGGTAAGGGTGGTTCCCTGTGGTCAAGACCAGAGACGCTGGCTAGTGGCCAGGTCCAGACCCCTGAGGGCTGACAAGACCAGTTCCAGGACGTCTCTGTTCACTAGGACGTCTGGCGGGATGGACGTGTGCTCTATTTGCACTCTCTGGTATGGGGCCACTCCATGCCTGTGGCATTGAGCATGAACACGGGCCTCGTGTGACCAAGGGGCAGAACGCTTGATTTTATTTCCCTCTAGTTAACTGAAATGTGAACGGCCACAGGAGGCTGCCTGTCGGACGCTGTGGTTCTCCAGCTCCGCCATCAAGGCGCTGTGGGCAGGGCAGGGATGTGGGCAGGCCCGCAGGATGGAGGACAGGCTGGGAGCTGGGGCCAGGGCTCTGGTAGGGGTGGTGGACAGAAGAGCCCCGGAGGGAGAATCAGCCTGCCCTGGTCAGGGTGACACTGGGGCTTGTGTTCCGGTGACCCAGAGGAGACAAGGTGTGGACCCAGAGTGGTCCTTTATTTAGGTTGTGGTGGAACACTCTAGTGGCCAGGCTCAATGGGCAGCTGGCGGAGGGGACAGGAGCCGGAGGCGTCCTCAGTCAGAGATCTGGGAGGCAGCAGCCCACAATCCGTGTGTCTGGGCGCCTCCAACCCAGAGTCCTCTGTGTCCCAGCGCATCCCCGGGGTGGCCCTGGACTGACAGCCAGACTCCCAGGGGACATACGTTTAAAAAGAGCTCCGCAGTCGGTTCTTAGATGAGGAGACCCTGAAAACAAGCAGCCAGAGAGCAGCAAACCATTGAAACCCTTTGAAAACCATTATCTGGGTTTTACATGTGTGTCATTTTAGAAAAAGGATCCAACTTTAATTGGAATAGCAAACCCCGATAGTCCAGAGTGAGAACCGCCGTTGCAAATCCCTGTTGAACTTGCGATTCCTGTTGACTCTGGAGGCAGGTGGTGGACGGAAGTTCACAGCCGAGCCCAGGAGTCTAGTCCACGCCTTCCCTCGCCAGCTGCGGGCTTGGTGATTCGGGACAGGTCCCATGGCCTTGCCTCCACCTGTCTGTGCCTCACCACGTGCTTGCTGTGGAGTTGATCTGGTGAGCGTGAGCAGGTGCCGGGCTGTGCGGGGCCCTGGGTCCGTGGAGGACGTGACTCTGCAGCACAGCTGGGCAGGCAGAGGACACACCAGCCATGCTCCGAGTGTCTCCCTCAGAGGGAATGTTATTTCTTTTGTTTTGTTTTTACTTTTTATCATGATTTTGAAAAGGACACATTTGCCGTCTCTAGTCCTTGGCGTTGTGCAGTTGGTGGTGTTGGGTAGCGTTGCAATGTTGTCGTCTTGTAAAACTGAACTCTGCGCCTATTAAGCGACTCTCCCTGTCCCTCCCCACCCTGGCCACCGTCCCGGCTGCCTCTGTGACTCTGGGAGTTTCCTTCCTCTGAGGGCTAAGGTCCCTTTGTACGCGTGCGGGGCGCTCTGCTAGTGGCTCAGAGACGCAGCAGTGAGACTGCCGTTGTCTCAGCAGTGAACAGCCCCCCGGGCCCCCACATCCTGCTCACACCCATCTCCTGGGTTTGGGTGGTTGCCGTCCTGGTGGGTGTGTGGTGACTCGCTGTGGTTCAGATGGCCTTTCCCCGTGGCTGGGGACGTGCAGCTGGTGGCCCTCTCCGTATCTGGTGCGCTGTGTGGCCCGTCTCTGTTCCATTCCTGCTCTTGATACAGTCCAGTCATCAGCGCTCATCCGATCAGTGGTGCAGCCACTGCCCACGTTCCAGAGGCCACTCTGGGGGGCAGCCTTCGATGGCGTGAGGTGGAGGTGGGCTGTGGCCTTTACCTCTTCTCTCCCTCACTGTCTGTTTAGGTGACATGTCCGTGTGTGTGTCTGCCTGAAACACGTCCTCACATCACAGATCCACTCCCGTTAGTCTGCAGATCTGTGTGCTGTTTGTCACCCTCATGGGGCTCTGGGATTTCCTCCATCACTCCAGATGGAAATCCTTTACCCACTGAGCAGAGACTTCCCGTCTCCCCTCCCTACGCCCTGGAAGCCACCACGGCGCTTTCTGTCCCGTGAAGTTGCCTGTTTGGGATATTTTGTACAAATGAACTCTGTACTAGTTAGGGTTTTCCAGAGAAAGAGAACCAACCAGAAAATTCTGTTTCCTCCAATCGTACATCATGAATAGAATAATATGTGAACGTGACGTTAGTACAATCAGCCTAGGACACAGCAGCGATAGGTCGTTTACCATCATAATCATATGTCAGTCATCACCAGTCTGTCATGTATCACGTGTCATGATGCACCCTTGGTCATCATGTACTCACCGCCCAGTAGTCATGTACATTATTACACTAGCGTGTGCTACCTGTAATGTATGTTCATACACATAAAGAGACTGGTCCTCAGAGGTTTGCTTATGAGCTTATGGGGCTGAGGAGGCCACGGTCCCTCACAAGCCGGAGGCCGGGGAAGCCTGAGGGCCTGAGAGCCGGAGTCCCAGCCTGAGCCCCAAGGCGTGTCCCAGGACCCCTGCTCGGGCACAGGATGTGGTTCTCTCCGTCTGTAACTCAGATTCCAGTCTCTTCTGGAAACATCCTCAGGGTTCCCGCTCCTGGGTCGCCCCTCGCCCAGTGACATTGACAGACGGACTTGCAGGACCTGTGTCCTTGGGTTGGCCCCCGTCACCTAGCACACTGCGCCCCAGGATCGGGGTGTGGAGCAGCCTCTCGTTCCTTTTCTGGTGAAGTGGCCTCCGGCTGCCTGGCGTCTCCCTGTGGGCGCAGGCCCTGTCTGTCCACTCACACTAGATGAGTTGGGTTGCTTCTGCTTTTGGGGACGAGCTCTGCTCTGGGGACAGGAGACACGGGGCTTCCATCTTTCGCGTCCCCTGGGGAGGACTCTGATTCTCCTGGGCAGATGAGGAGGGAAGAAGTGCCCCTGCTCTCGAGCAGCTTCCCAGCCTTGTCACGGTTGACGCGGGCGGGGGCAGATGCCTCTCCACCATGGGCGCAGAGTGGGCAGCACGCTTACAGCGTCCTTGGCCTCTGCCCACCGGGTTTCAGAAGTACCCATCCCCAGTGATGGGAATCGGCGCATCTCCAGGTGCGGTTAACGTCTCTGACGACAAAATCGACCCCGGTGGGACTGAGCCTCTCTGTGTCTGGATTTGGATGTGGATAAGTTAAGTT